GAATTCAGAAACATAAATCTAAGGGGACCAGCCCTTGTCTAAACCATAACACTGTATCTTCCCCTTTGGCATGAGAGCTCCACGAGGTTATGAGGTTGTCTGATCACTGGCTGAGCCCCACTGTGAGCAGTGCTGCACACAGTAGGTGTTCAGGAAACGCTGTGCTAAAGAAACTAGTGTTAAAAGGAAAATAAACCAATTCAGTACAGTAGAGCTTTATTGAGCAAACGTTAACACGATTTTTAAAAAAAATTTTATTTATTCATTTTGTTTATTTATTTCTTTATTTTAATTTGATCAGAAAGACACAGAGAAAGAGTGAGAGAGGGAAAGTGAGAAAGCAAGCCACCAGGTCTGAGATTTGAACTGTGGTTGGCCATGTGGGAATCCAGCGCCCTTATCCACCACACCACTTGCCGGCCCCCGTTAACACAATTTTAATCAGGCAGCAAGCAGTCCTTGAATTTCCGGGGCAACTCCGGTCAACTCGGGATTTAAGTCGGCAGAACGGAACAGTGATGTGTGTAGTTAAAGGAAAAGTGTTGTACAAAAACAGAAGTGAGGGCATGAGGTAGAGAAATCATTGGTTACATCCTGAAGTTTGTCTGCAGTAACGTGATTTAAAAGGCGGGATGCTGTGATTGGCTGTAACCTATCAACCAGTTCAGAAAAACAGCCCGACACGGGACCTAAAGTTAAATAAGAAATAATTCTTTAAAAAACAATTAAAAAAACCCAGCCTAACATGTACAATTTCGGTTTATCCATAGGAATCCAAGCGTGGGAGTACAGCAGCCACTTTAGGCCAAAAGTGAGCTTTAGGCACACGCCCCTCAGTGCTAACACCGACTTCCCCTTCCAGCTGTTCATTCTAGGACAAATCCCTTAGCCTGGTACTTCTCACACTCGGATATCCCAGGCTCTTGTGGAAATGCAGTTTCTGATGTCAGAAATCTGGGGTGGGACCTGAGCTTTGTATTTTTTACAGCTTCCAGGTGACGGCCATGCTGTTGGGCCTTAGACCCAGGTTTGTTGTTGTTGTTGTTGTTGTTGTTTTTAAGAATTATTCATTTATTTATTAGTATTCTTCAAGTTGATGAGAGAAACAGAGAGAGAGAGAAAGCAAGCGGCCAGGTCCGGGACTCGAATGACGGTCAGCCATGTGGGAGTCCAGCGCCTTAACCACCACGCCGCCTGTCAGCCCCAAGACCCAGGATTTGAATAGTGGGGCCTTCGCTGCTCTGAGCCTCTGCTTCCACATCTGTGAAATGGCTCACAAGCGGGTAGAGCGGGAAGCACCACGCACCACGGCTGGACTTAGGTGCTCAGTAAGCGTCTGCCGCACCTCCTCTGGGCCTCTCGGGCCTGCTGGACGTTGCCCCCCTCATCTGCAGGGCCTATCTCATTATTTAGTCTCCTCCACAGACCATCTGTGGGGCCTTATCGGTTTCATTTCTCCAGAGCTAGCCAGTCTGCCTGTCATGGTTAGGGGGTGGGGAGGGTTCTGGCATTTTGACAGTCATGGCAATGTTATGCAAATGAGATGCAAAGCAGCAGCTGATGAGCCCTGATTGCATTTGCCCTGGCATTGGGGAACAAGTGAGATACTGCGCTGAGCCAATAGGGGAGGGGACAATGACGATTTGGGGGGCCTGCAGGCAGCAGAAGGGCGCAGCTTCTCCCAGGGGTGGGAGGGAGCATGGCCAGGGTGAGACACCCTCTGCCCTTGTAACTGGACTGGAACAAGGTTCGGGCCCGGGAGCAGAGGCTGAGTGTGGGCATGGCACATGTGTGCGTGTGTGTGTGTGTGTGTGTGGGTGTGGGTGTGTAGGGGTGTCTCTGGGTCTGCAGGTGCAGGAGTAGAGGGCTGTAGACGGTAACTCCAGTAACTCAGGCCTTCTGAGCAGCAGATGGGGCCAGATTAGACTGACAGTGGGGGCGGGGTGGGATGGCTGCTCTCTGAGCTGGGACGCAGTGACAGAAGGGGTCAGCTTCCCGTAGGGCCTGTCTGGAGTCCGTGAGTGTGGGAGGGCAGGATTCGGCCAGGCGGCAGATGGAGCTGGATCGGGCTCATGGAGGGGCGGTGGGGGCAGCTAGAGAATGGCTCTTTAGAAGAAAGATGATCTGGGGCTGGGGGCCAGCAGGTGGGCGGGGGGGCTCTGTTTACAGCACCTGGGAACTCAATCCCATCGCACCCCACAGCTGAGGCCTCCCATTCTCCAGGGAACCTCTGCTCTTAGGCTTCGGGCCTTCCCGCCCTCCTGCCTGGCCTGGCCTGGCCTGACCTGAACGTCTGCCAAGGTCCTCCACACCTGGGACAGCCAGCAGGCTTCTGGCCCAGAGGAGGCAAGGCTGGAGGTCCCCTCTGACATCATTGCGGGGTCCGGCTGCCCACCACCTGGCTGGCACTTCAAGCACATGGGGCTCTCTATTCAGCCTTTGACCTAAGGATGAGAAGCTGGCGGTGAAACCCATAGAAACTGAGAGGCCGTTGCCATGTTCCCCTGCCGGATCTCTTTTAATGGAATCCATGTAGAACATTGGGAAAAGCTTGGCAGGCAAAGGGTTCAAACCCCAGCCCAGCCATTACCGACTTTGTCACCTCGGGCAAATCCTTCAATCTGCCAGAGCCTGTTTCCTAATCGGTCCAGTGGCCTTACCAGGCAAAGCTGCTTTGACAGCCAGACACGCTGCAGGAGAAGCCCACGAGCGGGGACGGGTGTTCAGTAAGTCGGCGGCCTCATCATCCCTGCGAAGGCCGGGACTTTGTCTTGCCGGCAGACGTAGCCCAGCCTCTATCAATACCACTGTCCCCGGCATGTGGTGGGTGCCTAGCAAATACCTGCGGAGTGAATGAAATGCCCTGCTTCACCTGTTCTAGATGGTTCCCTCACATCTGAGCTCTCGGTGCTCGGTACTTCGTGCCACTGAGGGCGTGTGTTAGTTGAGTGGCGGCAAGCAGTCTTGATTGAGGGGGCTTAGACGTGATGAATGGAAGAGGCTCTCATTCTTAAGGGGCAGTGTGGGGACCAGCAGATGGCAGAGCAGTTACGTCTCTGGACTCCCACATGGCCGACCACTGTTCAAGTCCCGGACCCGGTAGCTTGGAAATCACACCAGGAGCATGTGCGTGTGTGCCCAAGACCCTGGCAGGAGAATGGTGGCGTGGCCATCCCCCCACGGGGAGTGATTTATCTCCTTCTCCCTGTCTCTCTGCCTTTCTCCCTCTCTCTCCCTCTATGGCAAGCACACATATTAAGGCAAAAACCTCTCAAAAAACCTTTGGGTGGGCTTCTGGCTCTTCTTGTTGCATGTGCCCCCCCACCCCCTGGAGGGCAAGGTATGGGGCCGCTGAGAATTGCCCTGGAGGAGCACAGGGCTGCAGTGACCTCATCTGCGGCCCTGGGGAAAGTGCACCCCGTGGAGCACAGCGTGTGTCCAGGGCCCCAGTCCCCACTGGTCTCTGGCCACCCCCCTTCTCTGTATCTTCTCCCTCCTGGGGTCCCGTGTGGGAGGGCTGTCTGAAGCCTGGACTGCCTCTGGGGAGGGAGGAAGGGCCCTCTCACGGTAACTCAAGGACCAAGACTGGGCAGCAGGGAGGGGCTGGGCGGGGCTCCCCGTGGGATCCCAGGCTGAAGGGGCTCAAGGCAGGATCTGACCTGGTCCAGGTAGAGGGTTTGCAGAGTGCCCCTGAGTCCACTGTGCTGAGCTGGGACACTGCCCTGGGCAGGTTAGTCCTGACCCTAGGTGGGGTGGGCAGTCAAAGCCCCTTCCCAGAGCATGTTGTACAGCCCTGGCTGGATACCACTACCCCTCCCATGGGGCCCCTCCCATGCGGCTAGGGTGGGGCTGTTGTGTGCAGCTGTGAGTTGGTATAGGTAGGGGTCTGTGTGTTGCGTGTTCTGGATTCACGCAGATGTGTGAACATGTGTCTTAAAGATGTGTGTATGCTTGGGACCAGCAGTTGGCGTAATGGCTATGTCACTGGACTCCCATGTAGTCGACCATGGTCTGAATCCTGGACCCAGTGACTTAAACTCATGTCAGGCACATGTGTGTGCGTGCCCAGGATCCCGAGAGGAGAATGGAGGAGAAGGGATTGCAGTGTGGCCATCCTCCCTGGGGGGTGATGTCTTGCTTTCTGTCTCTCTGTCTCTCTCTGTCTTTCTGGCGAGCACATGCACCCTATAGCAAAAACCTCTCCAAAAAAAAAAAAGAAGTGTGTACGATATTGGGGTTTGTTCTGTGTGTGTACGTGACGTGCACCTGTGGGTAGATACTTGTGGAAATGCATGTGTGCAAGTTGTGTCATGGGCGTTTGTACCTATAAACGTTTGTTGGGATGCACATGGGTGCAGACACTGGCGCGTGCGGATCGCAAGTGGGCAGAGCAGGGCTAGACGGAAGCCCTCACAAGGCCAGCGCCGGATCCACCATGCGCCGACGAGTTCTCTCGCGGGGCCGCCTCCGCTGCCAGTCTGAAATGGGTAGAAATCTCAGGGCACAGGATTGTGATGAGCATCTCACAGTCGGTCCGGCTCGGAAATTGCTCATGCAATGTTGCGTGTGGGCCCAAGAAGAGAAAAAATGATGGAGTAAAGAGAATGTTCTCCATTGTAGCGAGCGGGAAGAGGTTACGGGCCCCAGGGAAGTGCCTGGGGAGAGGTGCAGCTTCAGATGTCTGGAAGGGAGGTCGGGATGCCGGACCCGGGGAGAGAGGAGAAAGGGCGGGCGCACCTCCACCCCGCGACAGTCGTGGGCGGCCGGCCTGTGATGGAAGCGCGCGTGCGGTGCGTGCGCGCCGGCGGTGATGCGGCGCCGTGCAGAAGGCGGGCGTCCCCTGCTGTACAGGGAGGGAGGTGGTCTGTGCGCAGCATTGCCCAGTTGCCATAGAAACGAGCAGAAGGAGGTGGGTGGCTGGGCAAGGAGGCGGGCCGGGAGGAGGGAGTGGGGAGGAGGCGGCGGCGGGCGGGGGCTGGCTCCTGCAGTCCTGGCGCCGCTGCCTTCCTGAGCCCGCGCGCAAACCGTGGAGGGAATCCGGCAGACCGAGCCCCCAGGCCGGGCGCCAGGCCCCTGTCCGCCAGCCACCACGGAGGGGGAGGAGGACAGCCAACCCCTCCGGCCCTGGCATGGCCCAGCGGGGGCAGTGAGCTCCCGCCTGCCCACGGCTTGGTGCCCAGACGGGCCCAGGTAGGCATTCCGATGGCTGGAAGAGGCGCCCGGTGGGAGCGGGGTTCGGGGCGCTGCCGGCATTCTGGGAGGTCCAGCAGAGAACTCTCCCCACTACCTTTCCTCCTCCGCGCCTGCGCCCCTGTTTCCACCACTGCCACAGGTTGTGACTTGGTGGACTTGCTGAGGGGCTGAAGCCCCCAGGGACCCACAGTGAGGCCCCTTCCCTGGCTGAAGCTAGACAGGCTGCAGGGCAGGAGGTGAGGGTGTTTCTCACCGCGCAGGGCACTGCCGGCCTGGCTGTTTGGAACAAGCAGTCTCACCTCCCACCCCTGACGCCAGAGCCTCCTGGCCGGCCCTGGGCTCAGACATTGGGCTTAGAGCTCCTGGTCAGGCAAGCGGAGTCTCTCCTTTTGCCCCGGGCTCAGGCCCACCCCCCTCATCCTCTCTACAGACCCAGCGAACTCTCTCCCACCCCAGACCCCCTAGTGGAGCCCCCTGTCCTCCCCAGCTAGCCCAGGGCTGCATGTTGGAGTGGGCTGACGGTGGGACTGCGTGGCCCTCCCTTTCCCTCCTGCTGTCCCTCTGCTGCATTGCTCGTGGGGACAGATTCTGCTGCTGCTGGGGGAGCTCAGGCACTGCAGAGGAGCCTCAGCCCGTTGCTCCGGAGGGGGCGGGGTGGGGCGCTGGGAGGAACTGGGCTGCTCTGCCTCTGCTGTGGACAGGCAGCCAGGAATGGGGCTGCAGGGGGTCTGCAGAAGCAGAGGAGGGGTACACCTGGTCCAGCTGCCTGGGCTGGCCCAAGCCAGCCACCAGGGGTGTGCCTAAGGCTCTGTCCCCTTCTCCCACCTGCCCCCGCCCCCAGAGCTCTGCTGGGTCCTTTGCTGGGCCCTGGCACCATGATATAGGGCTTCTCCTTCCCCTGGGCCCTCAGGGGTTGGAGGTCCTGGTGCTGGGTTGAAGGGCTCCTGTGATGAGGGGGTGCCCGAGAGCTGGGGCTCCATCACTGTCTGCCAACGTGCACGTCTGCTGGGTGCTGGACACAGGGGCTCCCCCCTGGAGTCCAGGGCCCGAGGTGAGGAACAGGAAGGGGGGTGGGGGACAGGCCTGTCCGTGCACTCTGCTGCCGCCGGCGGCCCCTGCTTCTCTGAATCCCATCGTCCTTGTTCTTCACCAGGGCCCAGCTGGCATCACCCTGCCCCCCCTCCCTGTACTCCTCTCCCCTCCCTTCTCCTTCCCTTCCCTGCCCTCTGCTTCTCTCCGCAGCCAGTCCTGCTGGCCTCAGTGTCCCAGCTGCTGCCTCCATGGCGCCTAAGCGGGGCTGGGAGGCCTGGAGGGCCGGTTTTCAGCAAGAGCTGCAAGGAGCCAGCCTTGCCAGTGCCCAGGCCTAGCCCTGCCTGCCTGCCCCTGGCCTCCCTTGTAGGCCACATCCTCGTCTTTCACTTTGTCTGCCCAGCCTGTCCTGGTGGGGTCTGTGTTTGGGGACTCTGTCCCCATTCTTGCCACCAGACTCTGGGACAGTGCGTCCACCAGAACGGGCCCCCTGTCAACACCTAGAGTGGGCCCGGGGCACCTGCCTGGGAGCCAGGGTGGGCCCAGGTCTCCCCTCGCAGCATCCCCAGGTCAGCGAGCGCTCAGGGGACCCCAGGATCACCCAGGACCTGGAGCGCAGCAGGACCCCTGCAGGAGGCCAGAGCAGAGTGCGGGGGCATCGCAGCTGGCCCCGAGACAGCTCCTGGTCCCAGAGTGGCCCTTCCTCGGGCTCCCCAGCTCAGCCAACAGCAGCCCCCCACCCCCCAGCTCAGGTTAAGGGACTCGCCCCTGACCCTTCTCATCGCAGTACATCTGTCATCAGCAAAGCCTGTGGGGCCAGCGCAGCCCTGCCCCTCCTCACCGCCCCTCACTGGGAGGACTGCCGCCACTGCTGTCAGGCCCTGCCCTCCTCACTCCCTGTGCACCGAGCCTTGCTGTACACGGCGGCGGCCCGGAGCCTTTCAAACAGAAAGCAGATCTCATCCCATTCCCTTGTCACTCTGCACTCGGAGAAAGTCAGAGCACTCAGTCGGCCCTGTGGGTCCCCATCACCTGCATCCCGGCCCCCCCCCCCCCTTTTTTCCCGCCCCACTCACTCCGCAGCGCCTCCTTGCTGTTCAGACCTGCAGCCAGGCTTCTGCCCGGAGCCTTGGCATGGGCGTCCTCTCGCCTGGGTGCTCCGCATGGCTTCCTTCCTTCCCTCAGGTCTTTGTTCAAATGTCACCTCCTCAGAATGACTTTCTCTGACCATCCTGTCTAAAGCAGCATCACTCCTAGCCCCCACTGTCCCACTCTGTCACCTCCCCGCCTTATTTTTCTCCATGGCCCTTGTCACCTTCTAGCACACTTTATCGTTTGCTGATTATCTGGTGGCTCACCTGTCCCGCCCCTCTGGAATGTCCCCTCCGTGGAGAGGGAGTGTTTGTCTTGTGCGCTGGTGTCTGAGCTACGTGCGGATCAGGGCCACTGTTCATAGGCGTGCTTATGGTTCATTTACCCGTTTCCCCCATGAGCGAGAGAGAGGGAGAGACAGCACCCTCAGCAGGGTCCCGATGCACAATCCTCCCTCCCTCCCGGCCTCAGCCGACCCCAGGTCACGGGCACACGCACACCTGGGGCACCCAGGGAGGCTTCCCACGTGGGTCTGCCCACAGAGCCTCGGTCTTCACACTGCAGCACCTGCCGGCCCCAGGCTGCAATTTGTTTATTTTTTTTAAGTTTTAATTTTTTAAATTTAACTTTATTTGTTATTACTTTTGTTTTGTCATAATTTGACCAGAGAGAGACAGAGAGATAAAGGAAAAGTGAGAAAGCAAGCCACCAGTTCCAAGACTCGAACCACAGTCCAGTCGGACATGCGGGAGTCCAGCATCACAACCACCACACCACCTGCTGGCCCCTAATTTTATTTTTTTAGAAGAGAGGTTTTTGCTATAGGACACGTGTGCTCGCTGGAGACACAGAGAGAGACAGAGAGAGGGAAAAGTGAGAAATCACCCCCCAGAAGGGATGGCCTTGCCGCAATCCCTTCTCTTCCATTCCCTTCCTGGGATTTTGGGCACATACATGCACGCTCCCAGCATGACTTTCAAACTGCCAAGTCCAGGACTTGAACTGTGGTCAGCTCTGTGGGTGTCCAGCACCCTAGCCACTATGCCACCTGCTGGCCTGCCTAGTCTGCAGTTTAGAGCTGGCGTCTCTCCCCAGTGGCGGGGCGGGCCCTCAGCACCTGTGCTGTAATGGTGGCCCGCGATCAGTCCTCACCCGGGAAGGCACGGGGCTGGGCATGGACCGGTTCCACACTTCATGTCCTTCCCGTGCGTGGCCACAACAGCTCTGTGCTGGGCAGGGGAGGAGAGTGGGCCTCATATATCCCAACCCCAGGCCACAGAAGGGAAAGGGCCTACAGCCTTTCCTCATGGCCCGAGTTCACCCCGTGTTCCATACCACCCAGGAGGCATGCTGCGTCCCACCATGAGTGTCACCTGCAAAGCAAGCAGCCCTGGGCCCTGCTCCCCAGGGACCACAGATACAATCTCAGGACAGACCCCTACATGGGGACATGAGCCCAAGCAGAGCGGATGGGGTCTGTTCCCCACCAGCCCACTCCTGCCTCCCACCTGTGGTGTCTCCCTGTGGGCTCCCCCAGACCAGTCCTGAAGCAGGGTCTGGCCCTGCCGGGAGGTGGCCCACAGAAGTGTCAGTGTGGGGGAGCGAGGGCAGCTGGAAGATGCCGTATCAGGCAAGGGACCCAGCAGGCCACTAGGGCCCAACCCCACGGGGCACTTGGGAGAAGGCCAGAGCCCCATCGTGGCTTAGCCACCAAGATGGGGAGCCGAGTGCGCCCCACCTTCCCCACATCGTTGGTGCTTAAATAGCACCCCCACGTGTCCCTCTACTTGTCTGAGTTTTCTTTTTAACTATTGTCACCACCTCATGTGACATTCATGTACGATGTGACATTCATGTGCGTCTTGGCCTTTGGCATGCACTGGCCTGGAAGCTCCGTGAGGGCTAGCCAGCTCCCGGGTGCCGAGGGCGGAAGGCAGGGCTCCTTGTCCATGGGCCTGGAGCAGGCCGTGCTGGGGCCCGGTCACCTCCTCTATTCGGGGGTGATTTTCCCGAATAGAGAGGGTATGGGGCCTATGAGGGGTGACCGGGCTAAGGGGAGAGGATGGGCATGGGGAAGGGGACGGGGAAGGAAGAGGGGAAGGCCCTGGGGGCAGGGGCTGGGGCAGGGGCTGGGGCAGGGGCTGGGGCAGGCGCAGGCCTCCGTGGGCCTTTAACCTTTGCCCTCCCGGTCCGCCCGCCCTCTCTGCCCCTTAGTCTTGCCATGGTGTTCCACCCTCCTGCCGCCTCCCCGCACTGGGGAAGGGCCCCTGGGGACTCCTCTCCAGAGTCTCACCCAGGCCCCAGCCTGCATCCCCTCTAACTAAGGCCTGTAACTCAGGGTGAACTCTGGCCATGAGGAAAGGCCTTCTAGAGGGGATGGAGGCTGTGGCCCGGGTGAGACTCCGGGTGAGACTCCGAGAAGCCTAGAGGGGGCAGGCCTGGGCTCCTCCTTCTGCAGGGGAAGATTCACCGGGGTCCTGCCAGGAGAGTGCTGGTGTGCAGGGTGGGCTGAGGGGCTGGAGCGGGTGAGGGCAACTGTTCTGAGCCTATGGGACCGTGGTAGCAGGGTGGTCCCTGAGCCTCCTGTGGGCTGGCTCCCTGTTCACCCTCCTCTCCACTGGGGAACCGCGGTCGCTCCTTCCTGTAGGTGGGGGTGCGGGACACAGAGCACGTAAGTAACTTGCTGGGGTCCCACAGCCAGTCAGTGGCAGAGCCGGGATTTGAACCCAGTCTCCAGTGTTCTGTGGGACCCCATGGGTCATGCACTTAATCGCTATACTGCTCTGGTGGGGTGTCTGTGCCTGTTGGGGGAGCAGGCTGCCCTCCCTAAACTACGAGGCGAGGCGGGGTGTGACTAAGAGTCACTCCTCAGGGTC